CCAGTAATTAATGTGATGCTAACTGCTGCTATTCAACAGATGAGGTCACTGAGCATGGTGTTGTTTCCAGGACAGGATTAAGAAACTCCTGGGAACAAACTGTTTGTGGCCATTTTTCCCTGTTTAAGCAGGGTTCAGTGCTTCTGTGTGGTTTCGATTCAGTTCTCTCCTGCTTGCCTCTCCAGAATGTGATTGATGGGGACCTGTGTGAGCAGTTCAACTCCATGGAGCCTAACAAACAGAAGAATGTGGCCGAGGAGCTGGACCGGACCCCACCCGAGGTGTCCAAGAAGCTGGAGGACATCCGCACACGCTACGCTTTCTGAGTGGCAGCTGGCAGGGGCAGAAATGCTTGCAGCTCCTCTGGGTGCTCTTCCAGGCACCGGTGGAAGGAGGAATGTGTACTTTCCCCTCCCCCTATTTCAAATATTGGTTTGGTCCTCTTGGTTTATGTTTCAAAGTACAGTAAATACAGTATCAGCTCTTAGGTTTCCCAACACATCCCACTGCCTGTGATGTGAGGACTCCTGACATTCCGGCTTCTGGCCGGAGCAGTTCTCTCTTGGAAAGTGCCCGTGGCAGGATGCCAGCTGACCCTCAGCCCCATCTCCTTGTCCTCCCTTTTGGATGGAGGAGTCCCAGGTTGTCTCGCTGAAAGTTCTGTAGGGCAGATCCAGCTGAGTCTTTGTTGGGTCAAGTGGGGTTTGTGATTTCCCAGCATTTTAGAAAAGGAAAGGAAAAGAGAGCTGTGGCATAATTCGGGATTACCAGGCTCCTCTTCTGGTAGCCAGTAGTGAGCTGCTCTGGGCTTATACTAGTCCGGGGAGCAGCCAATCGGGAGCTGGCTGGGGGAGGGTGTAACTGTCACACTTTTCTTGAACGTTTTCTTCTGAATTGCAAGGGGGTTTTTTGAACTTGCCATTTCTGACTGTTTTCCCTGTAAATAGAGTTTTGTACAATGTTGACTCTCCTGGGGGTGGGGAAGAGCGAGGCCTGAGTCTGGGACTTGATTTGTTTCATAATAACTTTGGCAAGAGAGTGTCTCCAAGCTGTGACTGTGAGCAGCACATGAAGAATAAAAGCCTGTTTTTTCACTACACTGGCGCTGGGGCTCTTCTCCTTCGTGGCAGCTGCTGCTGACCTGGCAGGAGCAGGAGGGGAGGAGGAGGAATACAGAAATGTGTGCACCCTGAGCCCCTGTGCTCCTGCAGGCCCCTCACTGCACCCCTGCCCTGCCTTGGAGCTGATCCTCTGCTGCTTGATTTGCCCTAGGACACACAAAAAGCAGGCTGTGGAGAGAGGGAAGAGTCATTTCTGCAGCTGTTCCCAGAGCATGGCTGCACATCCGGGGTCCTGTGTTGCCCAGTGTAGCAGCTGCAGCCCTGGGAGGAGCAGCTGGCTGCCAGGGGGGCTGGGGAAAGGTCCTTGTCCCAGAGGCTTGGTAGCTGGCTGCAGAGGCTCCCAGTCGGGGTGCGCCCACACAGCAAGTGCTTCCTGGTTGTGCTGGGCTGCTCCCAGCTTACTCCTGCTGGTGGGGACTGTCTGAGAGCTTGTGACATCCCGGTAAGGATGCTGCTCCCCACTTGGGACTTGGAGGGACAGGTGGTCCTTGATGCCTGTGCTCCCTTTGAACAGCTTTCACGCTCTCCAGTGCACGTACTGTGTGGGGTGAGGGCAAACACACCCTCCTGCCCTGTCCTTTGCACCCTCCTCCTCTCCTGCCTTGTCTCAGGCCTGTGCTGGCAGGGGCTGACAGTGCAGGGCTGCACCCTTTGGCTCTGACATGGCACGTAGAGCCCCACCCATCCTCTGCTGGCAGAGCAAAGGCCTTTTTGCTCCCTTCCCCGGCCGGAGTGGGGGTGGCTGTGTCAAGGGAGGGGCGATGGTGTGCTGCTTTGTGGGGTCCAGCTTCTGGCTTGCCGTGGACTTAAAAGTGCTCACCCTGTGCTCCCTTCTCCCTTGTCCTTCCCGAGGCAGTGATGCTTTGGATCAGAGGGCACTTCCAGCAGAGCTCCAGTGACACTTGGTGTTTGTCATGCTGGTGTCCTGAAAGTGAAAGCAGGGGCGGGGGGGCATCTTGAGACGTTCCCAAACTCGTTCCAAGCACAAGGTTTTACTTCCTTAGCTGTGCCTGATGAATAACCTGCCTCCAGTAAAAAGCAAAGCCTGGGAGGGACCCATTCCCAGCCATAAGGAGCTGGGAGCTGGTGGGGAGCTGGCTGAGCCCCCAGCTCCCCTTCACTGGGACAAGTAAGGTCCCTCTCAATGAGGGTTCTCTCCTGCTGCCGTATGGGAGCAGAGCTCCCGGGGCTGTGCACGGGAAGCTGTTTGCCTTGGGCTCGTCCCAGCTCTGATTTCCAGCCCGGAGCAGCCAGGGAAAGCAAGCCGCCCCCAGCACAGTGCTGCGCAGTTCTGCACTTTCTCTTTTCTCTTTCGCCCCATCCCGTCTGCCAGGCTGATGAATACGTGGGCAGGGAATGCTATTAAATGGCTTCCTCCGGCGACTGCAGCAGCTGCGGGCAAAATCCCTGCGGACACCTGAGTGAGGAGCTGGAGCAGCTCCTTCCCTGCTTCGAGCTGAGCATCTTGCCCCCGATGAGTGCTGGGAGGGAGGCAAGGGCCATGCCCAAGGCTGGGCCAGGACCAGGGGAAGCTTTGGCAGGAGCACGGCAGTGGCCCTGACTCCATGCCAGGGGAATCCCAGCTCGCTCTCACAGGCAGAAATGCATTCCTTCCCACGCGTTTCCCTGGGAGCACTGACCCACTCTTTGATAGTAGATGTTTCTTGCTGACCCTTTGGATGCTCAGCAGCCCTGAGCACAGACACAGTGGCTCTTCCAAGGGGCTCTTCAGGATGGTGTGGGGGAGGACAATGTCCCACGTCCGTTGTCCCCTGCTCCTGGCAGGAGCTCAGCCCTGAAGCATCCTGAGAGGATGACGTGAGCTTGGGCCAGAGGGAGCAGAGTCCTGCTGGCCTGGAGCCAGCCAAGAATACCTCAGCCCCTCTGAGATTAGTGCTGCAGCTCAGCCCTCCCCCGGGCCCATGCTGGGAAGGTACTGGGCTGGCTCCTCTCTTGATTGCCCCAAAACGTGCTCATGTGTGCTCAGCCCCGTAAATGCCCTAGGACACCGGGCCAGGACAGCCCAGCACTCCTGGCGTGCTGGCGCTGGCCGAGCAGAGCGCCCCGGAGAAACTAGGGCTGTGCAGAGTGATCAGCTGGACACCCCAGGGGCCATGTGGGCACCTGACTGGGCTGGGTGAGCACCCTGCAGGGATGGCTCAGCACCCTGAGGAGTGGAGGAGGCATGCACCATAGTTAGATCAGCACCCAAGGGCTCCCTGCTGGTGCAGCAAAGCACCCCAAGAAACAGGGAGAGACCCAGCAAGAGTGAGCCAAGCACCCTGGGGACACTCAGATGGATGAGCTGAACACACTGAGGGTACCTGGCTAGATGAACTGAGCAGCCGAGCATCCCGGGACACCCAGCCTGGGCTTGCTGAGCACCCCAGGGAGCACCTGCCTGGAACAGCAAAGCACTCGGGCACAGGGAGGTACTCGCGAGGGTTAGCCAAGCACCCTGGGGCCACCTCAGCCTGGGCTACCTGCGTACCCTGGGGACACCCACGCGGCTGGGGTAGCCAAGCACCCGCTGCGGGGCAGGGCCGGACTCTCCCCGGACCGTGCGGGGCGGTCGCTCGGTCCCCTCTCCCCGCCCGGCCCTCGGTCGCCGCCCCGCCCGCTCCCCGCGCCGCCGCCCCCCGCCCGCCTCCCGGGAAGCGCGGGCACGGCCCCGCCGCCGCCGCCGCCCGCGGGTGGACGCGTCCCGCGCCCGCGGCCCCGCGCGCCGCGCCAGGTGGGTCCGCGGAGCCTCGCGCGGGGGGCGCGGGGGGCGGGCGGGCACGCACGGGAGCGCACACACCCCGCGACCCGGCCGTATTTGCTTGGGGACAGATAGCAGGGACATGGCACAGAGCTCCCTTCACCGGGGATTGTGGGTGGCACCCCTTTGCTCTGGGACACTGCGCGGCACCTTTGCGTGGGGGCACGGCACGGTATCCGGCACGGCTGCTTTCCCTTGGGACATGGCATCGCGTGGGGACACATCGTGGCCCCCCTGGCACCGGGACATGGTGTGGGGACGCAGATGGGGCCCCTTCTGTGCTGGGATATGGCATGGACACAACACACCCTCCTTCGCAAGGGGACAGGCTGTGGAAGATGTGGCACAAGGACGTGCTATGGTCTCCTTCCACAGCGTGGGGGCATGGCAGAGCCCCCTTCACGGGGGTGTGGGGACACGACATCTCTGTGTGAGGACCCAGCATGCGGTGACTTGGCCACTTCACCAGCCTCGTCCCCCAGCGTTCCTCGGCTGAGGCAGGACTACCTCGCTGCTGGGATAACGGGGCTGGGTTGATCCTCCTCCTTCCCTGGAAATCCCCTGAGGGTGTCATCAGGGAAGCCCCGGTAGCCCTGCCTCAAGCGGGTCACAGGCATTCACGGCTCCACGGCCACCCACAGCCTTTTGGTCCCCCGAGGGGCTCACGCGGGGCTGTCCCTTCCTCGCTGCCCCCGGGGCTCGGAGCGGGTGTCCTGCCTGGGGGCTGCAGCCGGGGCTCTCTTCCCCCAGATTCCCTCTTGCAATCCGGGGGTGCTCCTGCACCCCTGCAAACACATCCCTGCCAACACCCTGTGACGGCCCCGGGACCTGCTGCCTCCCTGCCACCAGCTGGAGAGGAGAAGCCAGCGGGGACTGCCGGGAAGGGGGACTAACCCCCCATCCATGGCAGGGAACAACTGCCCGGGGCTACCGGAGAGCAGCCAGTGCCCGGAGCCTACACCTGTCCCTTGTCCCCAAACCATCCACGCCACTGCCCTGGAGGCTCCCGGTGAGCCCCAGCCATGTAGGCACAGCCTGGGACTCCAGTGACGGTCACCATCAACATGCAGCAGGGCTACGCTGCCGTCCTATGTGAGTACAGCTGCGGGCCGGGGGGGATGGCCTCAGGAGTCACCTCAGTGGGTGTCCCTGAGGGGGCTGATGCCTCTGGCTTTGGCTGCTCAGGTGTCCTGGCTGTGCTGGGGCTGGAGGCCGCGGCGCCGGGCGAATGTGAGCTCACCCGCCTGCTCCAGGACAAGTTGCAGTACGAGATGCGCCTGCAGTACATGGTAACCCCAGCTTTGGGAGGTGGAGGGACATGTGGCATTGCAGGGCCCCAATTTGCTCCAGGGGGGAGACAGAGGGGCAGCACCCACTGCTCTACAGTGGCTGGGTGCTGTGCGCTGTGCTTTTTACCAGGGACACTTTGTGCCAAATTGTGCCCAGAGCCACTTCTGCTGGGGGCTGACCACTTCAGAGGCTCCCCGGTGTCATGCTGAGGCTGGCAAGGATGTGCCCATTACTTTGCCCCTTGCCAGCCCCCGTGCTCTTCCCTGCCTTTCCAGAAGCATTACTTTCCTATCGACTACACAGTCCAGGTCCAGTATGAAGAGGTGCTGAGGCCATCCAACATCACCCGCCTGGTAAGATGGTGGCAGGGGAGAGTCCCATGACGGGAGCACTCCGGGGACCCACGGGGGCTGCATGGCTCTCACCCTCTTGCCCTTTAGCGCAACGGGACAGTGTCGGAGGCAGCACTGCGGTACCTCTGGTTCCATGTCAGCTCCCAGGCAGTGCTGCGGATCCGTGAGGTGCTGCCAGAGAAGCACCCATCCTGGAAGTACACCCAAGAACTCTGCCAGCTCTTCGATGCCCTGGGCGAGGAATACAGCAAGTACCGGCAGGTGAGGATCCCCCCTGGCCCCCCAGCCCAGCTGCACATCACTCACTCGTGTGCTGGGAGGACACGAACTGAGCCACGAGCACCTGGGAGGGGACAACGCGGGCATGGACATTTTCCCTGCCTGTGGGTTCTGTGGAAGGACTGACAGGACAGGGTGCAAGGATAGAGGTTGGGAGCAGGATGCAGGGCCGTGGAGCACTGCCTAAGATCTGCTCCACATCTGGCATTGGTGGTTCAGTGGTAGAATTCTCGCCTGCCACGCGGGAGGCCCGGGTTCGATTCCCGGCCAATGCAACAGCTGCATCCTTTTCTTGCTGGCAACCCGTCCCTCTCAGGGGACCAGCTGACCTGGGGAGGAGAGAACGAGACTGTCACACACAGTGTCACAGGGTGGCACTACCACGGCCGCCGGTTGCGGGAGATCAGGCAGAAGGTGCCCATGAATTCATTCCTGTTTTCCCGGTGACGGTCCTGCCTCTCTGCCCAAGCCTCTGCTGCCTCGATGGAGCTGCTGAACCCCGATGCCGTTTCATTTGGGTGCTGGATGTGGATGGCCTGTCACGGCTGGGTCACCAACGTGAACCCCGAGTGTGGCTGGTTGTCCTGTGTCGTGGGACAGGTTCTGCCAGCCCCTCCGTGGAGAGAGCGAGCCTTGCTGGGTTGTCTCAGCAGAGGGTTAACTCTGAAGGCTGCTGCCACCCCCTCCTTGCTGTAGGTGATGTGAGGCAGCAGAAAGAGGTGTTCTCATGGGCTGAGCCGCGGTATCAGAGCTGTGTTGGGGTGCTCTGTGAGGGTATTCATAGCTGGCAGAGCCTGTCTCTGCTGCTCCCAGCCCGCTGGGTTTGGGAGTGTGGGGGAGGGCTGGGATGCTCCACACATCTGGCATTGGTGGTTCAGTGGTAGAATTCTCGCCTGCCACGCGGGAGGCCCGGGTTCGATTCCCGGCCAATGCAACAGCTGCATCCTTTTGCACCCTGCCGTCCTTTGGCGGCTGCCAGGGTGCCCATGGAATAGCGCAGCGATGCTCCCCTGCGGTGCTCCCTTGGGCATCTCTCTAGGGGTGCTCCCTCTGCATCTCCCCTTGCGATCGACTCTAGTTTGTGTGGGTGCTCAGGTCCTGAGAGTGGCGGGGATGGTGGCAGCTTTGTCTGCACTGAGTATCCTTGGCTTGGTGGCACCGGTGAGCACTAAGAGGAGAGATGGTTTAGTGAATGACCAGCTCGGCTGAGTGGTAGGGAGGGACACTGGCTCAATGACAGCAAGGGGTGCTATGTCGGTGTGATAGGTTGGCAGTGAAGGTCCCTGGCCTAGGAGCAGTGGGAGGTTCTGGTTCCTGTCAAGGGTACCCAGGCCATGAGGGGGATGGCAGCTGTGGGCAGTTCCACATCTGGCATATGTGGTTCAGTGGGACAATTATTGTGCTTCCCCCTCCAAGCCAGGGTTTGGTTCCTCCTCAGTGCAGCTTGGTGTCCTACCTTTCAACTCTGCAGCTCTCAGCCCCTTCACCTGACTTGGGCTCATGCAGCCATGGGTTGCTTGTGGCTGGGAGGTGCTGCTGCACCCCAAGGCAGAGGTGTTTGTGTGCTGGATGTGGGTGGCCTGTCACGGCTGGGTCACCAATGTGAACTTGAAGTGTGGCTGGGTTGTCCTGTACCACAGGGCAGGTTCTGCAGCCCCTCTGAGGAGAGAGGGAGTTTTGCTTGGTTGTCATCAGATGGTTAACTCTGCGGGCTGCTGCCAACCCCTCCTTGCTGTAGGCGATGTGAGGCAGCAGAAGAGGAGGTTTCATGGGCTGGAGCCGCGGTATCAGAGCTGTTTGTTGGAATCTCCTTTGTGTGTGTGCATCTGTGTCTGTGGTGTGTTCACAGCCAGCACTGCCCGCGTTGCACTCACTGCTGAATTTAGGATAGTTGGGCCGTGTGGGGGAGGGCTGCGATTCTCTGCACATCTGGCATTGGTGGTTCAGTGGTAGAATTCTCGCCTGCCACGCGGGAGGCCCGGGTTCGATTCCCGGCCAATGCAACGTCTGCATTTTTTTTTTGCACCCATTATCTCTGGGGGGACCACGGGGATTGCCCTGGGTGCCTGGAGGGGGTCCTCACCTCTCCAGCACATATATCCCCCTGCGTGGATGTGAGGAGTGTTATTGTAGGTGGAACAAAGCCAGGGCACCTTGGTGACCCCGAGGGGACTTGGTGGCAGAGAGGGACCCTGCCTTATCGGCAGTGACTGTCCATGGCTCACTGACAGTGATGGTTTCTGGTTTTGTGGCAGTGATGCCCAGGGCAGTCGGGCCTGCATGGGTCTAGGGGATGCTGCCACATCCAAGAGTGGCTGTGTTTGGGTGCTGGATGTGGATGGCCTGTCACGGCTGGGTCACCAACGTGAACCCCGAGTGTGGCTGGTTGTCCTGTGTCGTGGGACAGGTTCTGCCAGCCCCTCCGTGGAGAGAGCGAGCCTTGCTGGGTTGTCTCAGAGAGGGTTAACTCTGAAGGCTGCTGCCACCCCCTCCTTGCTGTAGGTGATGTGAGGCAGCAGAAAGAGGTGTTCCCATGGGCTGAGCCGCGGTATCAGAACTGTGTTGGGGTGCTCTGTGAGGGTATTCATAGCTGGCAGAGCCTGTCTCTGCTGCTCCCAGCCCGCTGGGTTTGGGAGTGTGGGGGAGGGCTGGGATGCTCCACACATCTGGCATTGGTGGTTCAGTGGTAGAATTCTCGCCTGCCACGCGGGAGGCCCGGGTTCGATTCCCGGCCAATGCAACAGCTGCATCCTTTTGCACCCTGCCGTCCCTTGGGGGACCTTGGTGACGTCGCGGTAATCTGTCCCTGCAGACAGATGTGGAGACAGTGGTGGCCGATCTGGTGAAGCTGATCCACAGCGCGGGCGCTGAGAGCCGGAGCAAGGCCGTGCGCCCCAAGGCACTGCTGGACAACTGCCTCAAGGTCATGCGGATGCTCTACGGGGTGCCCTGTGAGTTGGGGAACAGGGTGGGGGGCCTCATCTTGGGGAACGCAGGTGTCACACAGTGGGGTCCTGTCCCACTCCATGGCACCTGTTCCTTCTGTTCAGGTCGGTGGGAGTCCACCTAACATTGTGGAAGACTCCTGACTCGACACCTCCTTGCCCTGGAGCCTCGGATGCTGCATCTGCTCTGCTCCTCCCAGAGCCCCATGGGGGCTTCCCAAGGAAAGGGCAAATGCCACTCCTTCCAGGACCAAACAAAACCTCTTCCAGAACTGTGGGACTGTTTATGGCTGTGGGATCTTGTCCATCCGAAATGTCTGGCACCCTTTGCATGGGTGTGGAGTCAGACACAGCCCCCCGTGGCAGGCAGCTGTTGGGGGGACACAGAGCCCTCCCTGACCACAGGGCAGGTGAGGGTATCACCCTTTTTCTCTCGATTTGTATTTTTTCCTCAGCTTTCATTAAACACCAGTTAATTCTCTAGCATTGCAGCTCAGCTTCCGACTGGGTCCTGGGAGCCTCCAGCCTTACCCGAAATAAAGGACCAGCAAAGAGAACCCCACTGCCTCCACTGCCTCCTCTTTTGAGGTGTCAGCACCTCCCTCACCACTGTGGGGGAGAGACTCACTCTGATAAAAGGACCCCTGCCAAGCTGCCTCTGACTGTCCCTGCTGCTTCTCCAGCAAGGAAACATCTGGATTTGTTTGTTGTGCTTGGCAGTGCAGTGCAGGCGGCACACTGGAGGGGCTGGGCTGCCTGGCTGCCTCCCCACTTTACAGCTTAGTTAATTAGCTTCATCAGCTATTAGAGACCTTAATTGGTGTATTTGTGGCTTAGGCTCAGAGTCCACTGCAGCATGAGTGGAGGAATGTCTTCCTTCTCCTCCTCCTTTTCTTCCTCCCTTCGTGCCTGGTGATGATTCCTGTTTATATAAAGCCCACACAGAGCTCATGTAAAACCCACCGGTGATGATCCACTGTTTGATAAGAGCTTTAACTAGAGGGATCCTCTCTTCCAACCTTGCTGCCTTTAACAGAATCCCTGTGTGGTCCAGGGACCCACCTGGGGCTGCCTCAGCCCTTGGGGCTGAGCCCCAACCTCCCACTCCCTCGTGTCAAGCATGGGAATGATCCTTCATCCTCCTCCATTGTGGGAAAACTGAAACTGTCCCTGCAAAATGATCCCTGCCAAACTTCCCAGAGCATCCTCACACCAATGGCCTTGCCGAAACCCTGTGTATCCAGCCCACTTGAGATACTGTGCATTTTCTTCTGATCCTTCTTTTGAGGACTGGCTTCAAAAATGTCAGCTGAGAACCTCTACAGGAATGTACTCAAAGGAAGGAGAATGGGAGCCTGTTTACAATATCTCCTGGTGTACCATGAGGGATGGTTTCAGGCAGGGTCAGCCCAGGGCGCCCTGCCCAGGTGTGAAAAGACATCTTTAGGCATGCACTGAGACTTGGGAGATCTCCCACTGTGAAACCCCCCCAGCTGCTGGAATAGGAAGAACCTTTGCTGGCCTTGAACCAGCAAGAAAAACGCTTGGCAGCATCCTTGGGGTGGGCATGGAAAGGCCAGCTGGTTTCGGGGTGGGCAGGCTCAGCAGGACAAGGGCTGAGTTTGGGGGCTGTCTGAGATGTCCCCACAAGCAGTAATGGCTTATGGCCCTAGAGTGAGGATACCCAGGGCGTTCTCCTGGCCCCAGGGGATGCCTTGGATTCAGGACCACACTTGGAGCATCCTTCCTTATGCTGCCCTGACCCAAATCAGCATCCCAGACCAGAGGAACAGCGAATCCAACTCTCATCCCCCAGTCTGTACATCCCTGTTTCTATTCCCCTGCCAACCACCCCCGAATCAGAGTGAGCCTGGAAATAGCAATTAATTCACTTTAATTAATTATTTAAGCCCAGTGGACAGATGCTGCTCTCACCAGGGCAGCCTCTGCCCTCTCCAGTCCCAGAAGGTGCCATTGCTGGTGGCTGAGAGCTGGGTCAGCAGCTGTAGGACACCCCGCACACTCTCCTCCAACGTCACCGGGCCCTGTAGCACCCAAGGGCAAGGGAAAATGTGAACCAAGATTCTCCATCCCAGCACCCTCATCCCACCCATGGTATGGAGGAGTGCCAGCTCCAGCTGGGTTGGTTTGGGAGCAGCCAGAGATGCTCCAGCAGCCAAGGGATGCGGCTTTGCACAAATTGATTGTCTCTCGTTTGAGTGCTGTAAGGATGGAGGGTAATTTTTTCATTCCTAATTAAAAAGTGACCCGTTTGTCAGCCAGAGCAGGGTAAGGAACAGCCGAGTGCAGGACCAGGGTGCCCTCTGCTGACACACCATCAGGATGGGAAAGGAAATAAAAAACAGGGAAGAAATTGGATGGTCTGGGAGAGAGCCTGGAATTGTCCCTTTGCTGTGGTGGCACAGCCACTGTGGGCTCCTTGCGAGGGACTGCACAGATGTGGGTGCCCAGGGAAGGGATGTCCACGGTCAGGGATGCCTCAGGAAGGGATGTCCATGGGAAGAAATGCCCTATGAAGTGGTTCCCATGGGAAGGGATGTCTGTGGGAAGCAATGTTTCTGGGGAGGGATTTCTTGGTGAAAGGCTGACCCCGAGAAGGGATGTTCATGGACATGGGTGGCCTTGGGAAGGGATGCTCCTTGGAAAGGATGTCCCCAGGAATGGGTGCCCATGGGACCTTGCTGAGCTAGGACTCCATGCACCTTGCATCACTCACCATCCCCTGTTCCAAGGGAGGTGTCACATGTCCAGGATCCACAGACACGCAGAGAATTCCGCTGCTCCCATACTCCAGGGCCAGACACTTGGTGAGCATGTTCAGAGCAGCCTGGGAAGACAAATTCCCCTCCTTACCATCATGATCTGGCAATGCCATGGCCAGTGGTGGGGGGAATCCCAGAGGAGGTGACCCCCAAATTCCTCCCCATCCTCTCAGTCGTGGTACCTTGCTGCAGCGGTAGCAGATGTCCTGCCTCTCCTCCCAAGCCTCTGCAATCTCGATGGAGCCCAGGATGCTGGAGATGTTGATGATGGCAGCTCTGCTGCAGCTTATCTCACGCTGCCCTTCGGCCTCAGCTGCCTTCTTCAACAGGGGCAGGAAGGCCTGCAGGGGATGGGATCTCAGGGATCCTCTTCCTCCCTGTTCCCAGTGTTTGGGGCAGGGATTTCCTGTGTCCTCACCTGGCTTGTCTGCAGGGGCCCGATGGTGTTGGTGGTGTAGACGAGGCTCATGTTCTCTGCTGTTTCGGTGGCCAAGGTGCTGCGGCGTGTGGTGCTGGTGTTGTTGATCAGGAGGTTGAGACCAGCACTTCCCAACTCCTCCTGCACCTTCCTGACTGCTGCTTTGATGCTGTTGGGGTCTGTCACATCTGCAAGGGGACAGGAGGGTTTGGGGACAGGCTGGCGGCCACAACCCTGGCAAGATGCTGTAAGATATGGCAGGAGGCAACTTCCAGCCACTGAGCATTGTGCTGGTCCCATCAGTGACCTGGTTGAGCTAAGCCAAACCAAGGGACCCACCTGCTTGGCGGCATTTCCTGGAGCCACCCACGGTTGCAATTAAATCCTGAGAAGCTTCATCCCTTTCCCGTCCCAGCACTTACCTAGAGGCAGGATCATGACGTTGGGAAAGCCCAAAGCCACCTCATTGACAGCCTAAGTGGAGAAAGTGGGGGGAGGGGGGGTCACATGGGGAAGCTCACAGGGAGGGAGGCCGTGCACTGTGCCAAGGTGGGAAGAGGGTGGCCCCTCATGTCACAGTTGACAGGTTACAACAAGATCCAGTGGGAGCAATTTGGGGCGAGTTGCTGCTTCTCTGCACCTGGCTGAGCCTGGCAGCTTCAAAGCTCCCAGCAGCGATGCCCCCGGCACGGGGGCTGCCAGCAACCCCCCCTGCACTCCCTATCACTCATATACCCGTGCCAAGAGACACAAAAAATTAAATACATACATATTTAATACATACACAGGTATTTTTATTATTTAATATATGTGTATGTATTTTTGTTATCTATTTATATATATATGTGTATATATATACATGTATTTTTCTGTGTCATTCATCGTGTAGGATGCTGGCACTCAGCCTCCCAATTCCAGGTGGGACTGTGGCATTCCCCAGGTACCCATCCCAGAGCTGACTCCCTCCTGTCCCCCTGCCCCGGTGTCCTCCCTACCTTGCCCTGGGGGTCCAAGCAAGCAGCGAAGATGTTCCGAGGTGGGTTGGGCTGCTCCAGCAACCCCTTCAGTAGCCCCAGGCCCAGCCCCCCATCACAGCCGGTCAGCAGGACACTGCCCACGCTGAGCCCCTCCATCCCCACTGCTCTCCACAGCCGGTTTGGCAATCTCTGCCCCAGCGAGGTTTGGCAATCGGCCTCGATGATTTGGGAGGTGGCAACGCTGCGGGTGCTGCTGGGATGGGCGGAGGTTGGGGGCACCGCCTGCACCCCCTCTTCTGGAGGGGACGGGGCAGCAGGATGTTCTTCTGCATCCCAGGGTCACACGTCACCTTGGCCATCGGATTGTTGCACTCCTCCATACCCCAAACACCCACCCTCCTCAAGCCATGGGAACCCCAGAGGGGTGATGGGACCTTCCCACCTGTTTCCCATTACTGGGCTGATCCCAGAGAACCAGAACATCCATTGGAGCGCAGGCAAGGCTATTAATTACAGTACAACCTTTATTAATACTGGAATCTTCACAGTGCATTCGTTACTTGTAGCAGTGACTATGGAAAACGGGGTGGGGGGGCAAGAGGGGAATTATCACCAGAAAAAAAAAATTAAAAGAAAAGACGGAATGAAAGAAAGAGAAAGAAACGTGGCAGAGGGAGAGGGAGAGAGGAAGCGGCGGCAGAGGCGGGAACACGAGGGGGAAAAATAAATTAAAAAAAAGAAAATAATAAGGACCAAGTTAACAACAGCACCAGAAAAGTTACTTCAGTCGAAAGACAGGTCAGTTTTTTTTCTTTTCCAAAGAATTTTTGTTTTCTGTACAAAATAAGAGACCCCCCCTCCCTCAAACCCAAACATTTGTCACTTGGCCTCAGCGGTTCTGGGCAGGAGAAGGGGGAAGGGGTGGAACTAAATTGTTATTCCTAAGGGGGAGGGCTGAGGGGCTGCGATGCGACAGACAGCGGGGCGCGGGGGGCTATGTACAGCGGGGGGCCGGGGGGTTGTGCTTTCCTCCAGCCGCCGGCAGAAATCAGCTGCTTTGCTTGGGGGGTCGGAGTTCAAACCTCCTGTGCCTGGACCCACCTCTGAGCCGACCCTGCACGGAGTCTGTGGGTGCTGAGGGACAGTGAGGGGGTTCGAGGGGGGTCCCAAGTGATCCTTGTGAGGGGAGGCAAAGTGGAGGTTCAGCATCCTCAGTCCCTGCACCCCGGTGTCCCCCCAAGACAGAGGGGATTGCAGTGCCTCTACCCCCAGCCCCCCACCCTCTCACATGTGCCCCACTTCTTCTTCCCCCCCTGCACCCCCAGCCCGTTGCTTCTGCCCCCTGGAATGAGGCTGAGCTGTGCTGGCCCCAAGCAGGCAGCTGGGGGGAATGGGGCCAGGGCCCCCCACTCCTGGCGCTCCCGGTGCTCCTGGTGCTCCACGGCTGCCACAGCCCTGCTGGCACCGTCCTCTCCTGCTGCGGCTGGGGCCACCCGCCTGCGCCCGGGGGAAAGAAAACAGAGGAGAGGGAAAGCGAGAGGGGAAAACTAAACGAGAAACAAAGGGAAAGAGGTGAAAAAAAGGAAAAACAGAGGAAAATAGAAGGGAGGAGAAAAAGAGTTGAAAAGAAAGGAAAAGGAGGACAAGAAGAGGAAAAGAAGAGAAGAAACATGGGAAAATGAAGAAAAGAAAAAAAGAGAAGGAAAAGTGGCATAGAAGAACAAAAGAAAAAAGCAGAAAAAGTAGGGAAGAGGAGAAAAGGAGAAAAAAAGGAGAAAGAGGGCCAAAGAGAGAGCAAGTGAAGGAGGAATGCAGGGAGAAGGCAGGAGGAGACAGAGGGGCAGGAAGCAGAGGGCACCAGGGAGGGACAGGGCAGCGGGTGCCGGCGGGTGGGGGTTCCCGGGGAGGCGCAGCAGTTGCCCCCGGGGGTCCATTGGCCACGGTGGGCACGTCCCCGCTGGCCGGGCATCATCACGATATCCGCGGGGCCGACCTGTCATTGGTGACGGTCCTCCGCAGGCGCACCCCGCGCCGGATGGCCACCAGCATGTCTTCGGCTGGGGGGTCCATGGAGGCCGCGGGGGGCGGCGCGGGGGTCTCCTCGCTGGGGCCGGACCCCACGAGGGCGGTGGGGAAGGGGAACTGGCCTTCCCCCAGGGCGTGGGCACCGGCCACCAGCTCTCCAATCTTCTCCACCAAACTGTGCCGGTTGGCAGCCAGCTGCTGGTCCTCCTCTTCCTCAGCGGAGAGGTGCTGGCCGGCCCCGGGGTAGACAGAGATCTCCATGGCACCGCCACCCCAGGCAGTGTTGGGAAGGCTCAGCCGCTTGGGCGAAGCTTTGGCAAAATCCAGGGGGTTTGGAGAGGCATCGTCAGCGTAGAAGACGCACTCTTCACTGCCCACCCGTGTAGGACCAGCATAGCCGGGGGAGTCGGGCACTGTGGGGGTCTTCACGGGGACGATGGGGGGTCGGATGGGGATGGGGCCAGCATTGGAGAGCGTGCGGCGGACCGAGGGCTTGGTGGAGGGCGTGCGGCGGATGGTGGCCACCCCCGGGGTGGTGCCGGCCGGGAGGTTGGTGCCGGTGGGCAGCCCGGCGGTGGAGGCAGGACGCTTGGTCTGGATCATCCGCCGGTAGTTCTGGGCGATGTTGCTGTTGCGTGGGATGGTGGAGGACTTGTCAAAATCGCTCTGGGGGTCACACTCCACGTCACCGTTCACCGAGTAGCAGTCGTAGTCGGAGCCTGGGGAGGGAGCAGTGCCATCAGTGTGGATGGGGGGGCAGTGGGTAGCCAAGCCCAACCATGCCAGCCCCAGCCACCTCCATCACAGCACAACAACAACTAAATTCAATGCCATGATCGTCAGACAAGTACTACTGTCCCACTTGCTGCTGGCACAACATGCTCACCATTAAATCCAAACATCGCCACTGGAGGGAAACCACAATCACCCCAACCATCACACTGAAATCACAACCAAACCCAACAATCACAACCACCCTAACCACAGCCATCACAACATGATCACAGCCAATCTCCACTGTCACCACCACGTGCTCATAACTGGCTCAGCCATCATCACCACAGACGTGGTTATTTGATCTCCCACTACTGACTCTGTTGCCATCACCTACCATCTGCCACCATCTCCACCTGTACTCAATCTCTGCACAGACACATCACCACAAACCGTAATTTGTTATGGCACTCCCTGGCACAACTGCAGCCACTGAGCCCCAACACCCAAACAACCAACACCCAAATAACCAGGAAAAGCTGTGGTTATTTGTGGCATCCCACCAGCCCCTACGCAGTATGACCACGGCCCAATGCTATGGGACTCAGAGCACACAAATGTGCCCCAGGACCACCAAAACCTCTGCTGTGCCCTACCCCACTCTAAGTGCAATTTCAGGTGATCCCAGGTACCCCTGGTGCCAGTACCTTGGGAAGGGATGGTGTCCTCAGAGCAGGAGGGGGTGGTGGTCTGTGTGCTATAGCCACTGGAGTACTGCAGCGAGTCCCGGCTGCTCTTCTGGTGCTCCAAGCTCAGCCCACGGGTCAAGACCATGGCCAGGTCACTGGCGGCAGGGGACACCTCCTCCCCATGCTGCTGAGGCAAAGCACTGTGAGCACCCTGGTTCTTCCTCTGGGAATTCCCAGGAGGCCCCCACCTCTGTGCCCTCCCTGCCACAGCCGGTACCTTGGCAGCAATTGTAGCCGGCGACATCCGGGGCCTGGGAGCATCCTCGCCACCGATGGCCGGGTACCCACCAGCAGGGGAGCCCATCTCGGCTTCCCGCAGGTGCTCCACACGGTCCTTGCGCCGCTGCAGGGTAGGGACCACCGGCTGGTCATAGGGGCTGGCCTTGGACCAGTCCTGCAACGGGCAAGGCATGCGGTCCGTGCTGGTGACACTGGGGACCAGGAGTATGGCAGGAGGGGTCTCAAGCTGATGTCCCCCGTGTCAAGCCACGGGTGCTGCTCAGTATGCTCTGCCCCATGCAGGAAGGGAGGGGAGGGTCCAGGGGCTGAACCCCATGAAGTGAGGGGGAAACCACGTGTGAAATGCAACCCTGGTGGGATGGCAAGGACTAACCGAGGTGGGGGAGCTGCACTCGCTAACTGACTGGCAGGTTTCGGATGCCTCTGAGGACGCCGAGCTGGAGGACTTCTGCTGTGCCGTGACGAGCCGAGAGCCGGAAGGTGAGAGAAGAGGCAGTTAGCAAGCAAAGCCAGAGCCATGAGCCTGGTTAGAGCAGCACCCGCAGCCCCCAGCCCTCCTCCCCTCTGGTAGTGGATGCAGGATGGCGAGCAGGATGCAATCTTGGCAGGGGGTCAAGAACTGGGATGATGAACTGCCCCAACCCTTCCCCCTTCTCGCCCCAAGCCATGCAGAGCCAACAGATATTTTGGGGAGTGGGGACCTTGCTGGGTTGGTGATGCCAGGTTAGCATGGAGAGGTGGAAATGGCAACTCCCTGGGGATCCTGGAGCATCCTTGGCACTGAGGATGGTGCAGCATGAATGGGAAGCTTTGCTCCATGCTGCCTGGTGGATGACTGGCACAAACTGGGTATTATGGGTGATTGGGAAACACCCTGTTCTCCTGGCACGGGGAGAGAATACCAGTGCCTCATCCCTGGGCAATTAATGGATGGGGTTTCTCTGACGTATGGCCCAGGACGTCCCCAAGTATGGCAGGCACCCTCAATATTCCCAGTATCTATTTCCCATGATGCCAACACAGACAGAAATACTTCTGAGGGTGGGTCTCATCACCTCTGCACTGGACCCTTGTGTTGCACCCAGCACCACCCACCCATTCTACGGAAGAGGAAACTGAGGCATGGAGATCAGCAGCATGGACCACTCTCCCTGTACCTGGCTGGTGATGTCCGAGGGCATGGGGGAAGGTGGTTTGGAATAAGCGGCGTCCTGGGAGATGAAGCCGGAGTCGTGGGAGGAGACGCTGGAGAGGCGGGTGGCGGCGGCGGGGGGCTGCGCCAGGCTGCGGTAGCGATAGGTGGAACTGGGTGAGCAGGTCTGAGCCCCGCCGGGCCACGCCATGCCACCCTTGGCACTGCTAACGCTGCTGGGGGGGCGCCGGGGGGACGGGGACACGCCGGTGGGGAGGACAAAGGAAGGAAAAGAGAATTTAAGACAAAGGTTCGGAGGTGGCAGGATGGCCAGCGCCCTGCCACACATCCCAGCCTGGGAAACTGAGGCATGTAGTCCTCCTGGGGGTGTCCCTTTGCCTCCTGGGGTGGCCCTGCGGCAGGGAACAGGCTGGGGGACGTGACAGAGGTGGTATTCTTGCCCCCAGACACCCATGCACAGCACACATCGTCCCCATGTGTTGGGGCATGTATTGGGTCCCCATCCTTCCCCATAGATCCACCAGCCCTGCCCAGTGCGCCATGACCAATTCCTCCATATTAATGGGAGCCACTTGCCCATATGGACATGAGAAGGTGGACATGCACCTTGTGAGCCTCCCCAAAGGCTGTAAGCATCATTAACCCACAGAGGTTAACGAAGAGGGCTGGATTTCCTGGCTGTGGTTGGGTGTGGAGCCCACCTCACCATACCTGCACATGCTGGACTTGCGGGAGCTGGAGCTGCTGGGTGAGGACGGGGGCGTCTGGTAGGACCAGCTGTAGTCAGAGCCCTTCAGGTCCTTGATCACCTGCAGGAAAGATGGGGTCTAAGTCCCCCCAAAGATGCTCCTTGGATCATCTTCACCCCTGGCTCACCCCTACTGACCTGCTCACTGGCGGGGGGCAACTTGTGGGGCTCAGCAGTGAGCACCACCAGGTCCTCGATAATGCCCTGCAGGTGGGTGATCTCTCCCAGCATGGTGAGCTCCCCGTTCTGAGGACAAATAGGAGAGAGCATCAGCACCCACTGGGCAGAAGGAAGAACCCCGACCCTCCCAGCCACCAACACTCACCACCACGGGCTGCAGGAAGGTGATGAAGGTGCAGAAGCGGCCCCGCTCCTCGATGAGGGCTTTGCGGACCGCCTGCTTCTCTGTCTCCTCCAGCAGCAGGTACATGTCATTGACGTCCTGCAGCGCATTGTCCAGCTGGGGCTGCAGGTCCCCCTTCCCTGTGAGATGGGGAACTGTCAGCGCTGGACTCCCCTGACACCCTCCCCAAACTGCTGGTAGTGCCACTGCCAAGCCTTGGCCATTCGCCCAGCTTGGGGACATCACCCCATCCTCATATTCCAGCAGATACCATAGGTCTCCCACTGTGCCCATGTCCCTGGAAGATCCAGGAGCACCCTCACCCCACAGCAGCCCTGGGCAGGGGGCTCCTCTGCCACCCCATCCCCATCCCTGGCACTTGGGACCAGAGGACCCCTTGGGCTGCCACATGGTGGGGCTGGCATTGCCTCAGGATATGGGGTGCACGCTAAGCTAAGCTAAAAGCAGGGTGAGGGTGGGAACAGGGAGTGGATGGACGGACGGACAGACAGACAGAGGCTGGGGAGACTGGGAGGAGTAGATGAGGAAGCAGAGAGGGGGCCGGTGGTGGGGGGCAGCGGTTCACTTACCAAGTAGCTCTACAGGAAGGATGTGGAGGGGAGGGAAGAGAAGGAGACAGAGAAAACGTGTGAAAAGAGGCCGAAGGCTGGGGCGCATGCCCCGCCTCCCCGCCACCCCTGGGGCCGTGCTGGCACCTCCCTTTCTACAGGGGGGCAGCAGGACCCCCCTAGTGACCCCCCCAGTTGGCAGTGCCACAGCCGGGATCCCGGCCCTGGCTGGGGGTGCTGCGGAGGGGCTGGTGGGGGCATCCCCCAGGAGATCCCTCCTCACCTTTGCGAGCCTTTTTCTGGAGCTTGAGGGTGTCAGAGGACTTTTTCTTGATCTCATGGCGTGCTCGCTTGTACTCTGGGGGTGCAGAAGTGTTGTCAGAGGGGACTCTGGCCAGCAGCACAGCCACCCTGCACGGATTTATCCCATCTCCCCCATACCTTTTGCATGGTCCTTGTCCAGCTGGTTGGCAGTTTTCTTCCAGTCCTCAATCCTGTCCTGCAAAGGGTTTATCAGGCTCTCCATGAGGGCACTGGAACAGGGAGAGAGAAGCAGAGAGTGTGGGAGAGCCCTGGAGCCAGGAGGGAGTCATTCCCCCATCCCATGCCCAGCCAACATCCAGCATCCCCTTCTTCAGTGAGGGATGAGCCTGGCCAGGCCGTGTCATCGACGCCTGTGAGTTTGGAGGCAAAGCTGACCCTGGTCCTGCTTACTTGGTGAACTGCCGGAGCTTGGCCTCGATGCTGCGGTGCCGCATGCACATCCGGGTCAGCGCCGAGCCAATGTCCCTTGTGGCACCTGGTGGGGAGCAAGGCACTGCTGACGAGGGGCAGGGACACCCCCACACCAGTCCCAAGCCCAGTTTGTACAGTGGGAGCAGGGTGGCTTGTGACAGGGATGATCAGCACTGGACACTGGGGACACTTGAAGCAGGGGGTGGCTTGTTTTTAACACAATAAATCCACAAAATAAATAAATCATCATCCACTAACTAATACATGAAACACTAAATATCTTTTCTGGAGGCTTTGAAATTAGAACCCACTCCCATTTTTTCCTGGTTTGTCTTAAATTTGGCACTGGGGGGCCAGGGGAAGGAAGGGATGAGATACCCTGGCCTAGTTCGAGGCAGTCAGCTCTGTCCCACACCTCCAGGAACAATTCAGAGTGGATAAAAAGGGAGTCCAAACTCCTCGGGGGGGATATTTGCCAGCAGCAGATAGCAGGAGCATCCTTTTTAGATGAAACCGCTCTTAACTCTGAAGCCTAAGGATGGCCACATGGTGGCAGTGCTGCTGGCAAATCCCAGGGAAAACGGCAATCAAAAATCCTTGGGTGCAAACTAAGGAGTGACATTCAGCCTTTCTCTCCCCTAAAAAAGCTTCCCAAAACACCTCCCACCCTTTTGCAGGAGTTTTGGATGTCCCTCAGTCCACCACTGCTATGGAAATAGGGGAACCCATGGGCCAGGGCCTTCTCCTGCACTGGGGTAGTCTCCTAATCCAGCTCCTAATGCTCTTATCCCAGCTCCTGCTGCTTCTAATCCGATTCTCATGCACTGTGTGCAAGGCAGCAGCCAGCCCCCACCCAGCACCTCAGTTTCCCCATGCTGCTGCTCTGCCTCCCACGTTCCCCAAAAGCCCTGCAGGTAAAGCAACACTACACTGACTCCTGTGGTGCTGGTCCCCAGCTGTCCCCAGCATTGCCCCTGTCCCCTCTCCTTGCTTTGGCTGCCTGGGTTGGCAGGGAGCTGGGGGAGCCCTAATCCCCCTGGTGCAGTGGGCTAGTGGGTTTGGAGGAAAAGCTGATCCTGGCTCAAGCTGCTGCCTCCACCTCCTCCTCCACGCGTGGCTCCAGATGGCCTGGATGCCGCCAGTCTGCAAACCAGCCCGGGACCATCTGCTTGGCAGAAGCCAAGCAGTGGGAAGTGGCTCCTCATTGCCAGCAGGCACCTGGAGAGGGTCCGGGGATCCTTCCCCCCCACTCCCCAACAGTATGGGGGACCCCACATGCAGCCGTGGCTCTTCAGTCACCTCCCTGGTGAGTTGAGGTTTGTCCCCAAATAAGTCAAGCTTGGACTCCTGAATCTCCCTCTAGCTGATTCCCTTTCCCTGGAGACCCTCGGAGCAGCCAGGGAACTTCCCAGGTGGGTGCCAGGGACAAGGAAGGTGGATTGTGCATCCCAGGGGACAGAGATGGGTGCAGGAGACCATGGTGTGAGGCTGAGCCACCCTGAATGTCCCAGCCCCACCAGAAAATGTGGCTAAGCACTCATGGGTGGTAAGGAGCAGTACCCACATGGGTGCCCACCTCCTTCCCCCTCCCCACTCCAAGGCAGCTTTCCAGGGAATGCTCCACCTTGGGTGTGGGAACATGTTGGACATCTCTCTGTGGATGGTGAAGCTGCTGCTTGAAGTCCACCCCAGAAACATGGGCAGGGGACACCCCACAGGGCACACTCATCACCTGTCCCCCTCCGCCCAGACATGCCTGGGGACGCCCACCCCTAGGAGAGAGGACCCTACCTCGGGTGTTGGTGGCCATGTCAGCCACTTTCTGGAAGGCATCCAGGAAGGCAACTGCGGCCAGCACCGTGGTCCTGAGGTGGAGAGAGCGAGGGGGGAGCTCAGTGGGTGTGGGACACACTGGGATGTGCCAACGAGGAGGGGGTCCCCTATGTCCCACCCCCCTTCTGGTCACTCACCTGAGCTGGGAGTGCAGCTTGGTGGCCTTTGAGTTGAAATCCTCCCATATGGGATAGGAGCTCTGCAAGGAGAAGGGTGATGGTGAGAGACAGGGCCCCTCACTCCCTGCATTGCATCCCCAGTCAGGGCAGGTCCCCCCTTCACTGGTGCAGAGAGACAGGGCAGCTCAGTAGCTTGTCTGATGGCTAATAAAGGCTGAGCATAACTCTTTTCCCTCCTGTTTTTTTCCATTTCCAATCTGGCCACACAAACTTACAGACCATGGAGACCACAAGATTTTGACGATCTTTTCCTCATAGGGGTCAAGGTAGGTTATAGGTTTGGAAATTTGCGGGCATGAAATGAAAAATCTTTAAGACTCTGGCCAGCAGTAAAGGAGACACCCCCAGCATTTGCAGCTTCCCCCAAAGCACTGATGGCCAAATCCACCATCATGGAGAGCTCCAGTCCCACAGATGGGAGCCCCGGTCCTCACCTCCCCTGAGCCCAAGGACCGTCAGGGCAGGAGGGGAGGTTGGGGTCCCCGAAGCCCTGAGTGGGGCAGTTGTGTGGGGACAGGACCAAGGCACAGGTGCTTGGGAGGCCATCCCACTGCTGTCCCAATGAGTCCACTCTGATGCCATCCCAGCAAGGCCATCTGTGCAAGACCAGTCCCACTGCCCTTGTGGTGAGGCTACTCCAGGGCTGTCCTGTTGCAATCATTCCAGTGAAGTCATTCCAGGGTACTTCAGTGCCACCATCCCAGCAAGACGATTCCAGAGCTGTGCTGCTGCCACCATCCCAGTGAGGCCATCCCAGTGCCACTGTTTCAACAAGGCTATCTCAGTGCTGTCCCAGTGAAGCCAGTCCCAGTAGACCATGCTGGTGCCATTCCAGTGAGGACTCTCCCAGTAATGACAGCTGCAGTGCCATCCCAGCAAGGCCATCCTGGTGCCATCACAAGGTTGATCCTGATCCATCATACAGAAAGCTATCCCAGTGTCACCATCCCGTCAAGGCCAGTCCATGTTGTCCTGTGAAGTTAATCCTGGTGCTGTCTTGACAAGGCCAGTGCCAGCCTTGCGTGGCCAGTACCGGTGCCATCATTCCAGTGAAACTATCCAGGTGCCACCATCCTGGCAAGGCCATTCCAATGCTGCTCCAGTGAAGCTGGTTCCAGTGCTACTATCCCAGCAAAGCCATCCCAGTAGGGGCAGTCCTGGTGTCATCATCCTGGTGAAGCCATGCCGGTGCTGCTATCCTAGCAAGGTCAATCCTGGTCCTGCTGTCCCAATGGCAAAATCCTGCTGCTATCCTGGTGTGGCCATCCGATGGCAGTGACAGGCGTCTGTAAACTCCCCTAGGGCAGCCACCAGGCTGGGACATGTACATCATCACATATCCCCATGGGCACTATGGCTTGGTGGCAGCTTTGGGGAAAAGGTTTGCACTGAGGAGGCAAGAGACCAGCCCAGCATTGTTTTTTGGGACCATGAAAGCCCCTATTTCCTCATGAATCAGCAAAGAAAGGGTTTGAGGGTGCCGCTTCACACACCACTTGTGGCAGTGACCCCCTGGTTGTGGGTCCCCAGGGATTCTCATTGCCAGAGGGCTGGGCCACCATTTGTGGGCCATTGTCCCTGGGCCACCTTCACTGTCACCCTGGGCAAGGGAAGTGAGGCTTCCCTGTAGAAGGGAGCAGGTTGTGATGTCCCCAAACCCCTGTGATGCCAGGCATGAGGAGGATGGGGAAGAGGACAATGGGGACAAGGACATGCCAAGGTCACTCAGGGACACGGAGCACGCGAGGAGAGGCAACAGGAATGAAGCCAGCTTAGGGACTGTCACCAGCAAACAAATTCTCCCCAACACAGGCCAAGGGGTGCTGAAAAAGCCATCCACCACCAAAATAAGGTCCCCTTGCCCTGTGACCAGCACAGGGATCCCAGCCATAGGACAATAAGCACATCACTGCCCTTCAATGCTAGCAGCTCTTCAAGCAGAGAGTTAGTGTCCCCCAGTACCCACGCCAGGACACCCATGTGGCTGGGAGATAGGGACAGCACACCCTCAGGTGCCACTGGCACTTAGCCAGGGCTGTGGAGGGCATGAGCTGAGCCCCAGCTGTAGTGTGGTGGGGTTTTACTTCCTTTTCACCATTTTTCTTTCATCTTTCCCACCTTCAAGTGGCATGAAACTGAATCCAGCCGGGTCTGCTCGGGTGAGGGGTTTCCAGTCCAACCGCAGCTGGATGGTGCTGGGCATGTCACTGGGAGGTGACAGCTCTGGGCTGGCTTATCCCCTCTGAAGCCTTACAGGGGAATAGGGAAACTGAGGCAGGGGCTGCCCCCACCTCCCCTCGGGGAGTGTAGGACTCAATCAGGCTGCCTGGAGAGGGTGGCTGGGGTGAAGGCATTTGAGGGTGGGAGCTGATCACCCCAGCATCCGTTTCCCACCAGCTCTGGATCCCACTGCCCTGAGGAGAGTTGGGATTTTCTCTCTGGAGCTTTTCTCCCAGCTCTGAGCCAGAGTCCGGCTGCAGAGCCACCACTGTCCCTCGAAGGGGTTAATCTCCTTCCCAGCAAGGCTTTTATTTTTTTTTTTATCCCCCCTCCCCTGCTTTGGCAATGACAGCATTGTCTGGACGGGTCTGCAGCATGAAGAGAGGAAGAGGAGGAGGAGAAGGAGGAGGAGGAGGAGGAAGAGAGCTTTTGCCTCTCAAAAATGACTAGGGCTAAACCCAAGTGCTGGAGCTGGCTGTGGGAATTTTGGCCCCCTGAGATGAAGAAACATGGCTGGTCCCTTCCTCCTCACTCAGCCCCTAGTCAGAAATGCCCCTCAGCATTTTTAATTTATTTTTTTGAAATGAAAACAAACAAACAAAAAGGTTTTTTAAACATGGCCCCATCCTGCTCCCAGGGAGGGTGGAGGCAATATCCTCTTCCCGGGTTAGGAAATGGGATCAAGGAGCTGGGGGACCTTTTTGTTCCACTGGTGTCAACCCCACTGAGTCCAGCAGAAATCCAGGCTGGTCATGGGGCGGGGGGGACAGGGACAACATGATGCCTGAAATGGGTGGCAATGTCTGGTGTGGGGCCAGTGGGACCTGGCGAGGGGCAGCGATGCCTGGCCTGTGTCACCCGACACGGGGATCTGGCACCTGGGGATGGATACAGGGCTGATATGGAGCCAGGATTCCCAGTATGGGCTCCAATGCCCAATGCAGGGCCACGATGCACATTATGGGGTTGATGTGGGGCTCTGGCACCCAGTGCCACGCTCTGACACCCAATGTGAGACAACGATGCTCGACATGGTGCTCTGATACCCAGCGAAGGATAACAGAGCAGATACACGGCTGCAACACCCAGAACGGGGCTCCGACAGCCAGTGACGGATCTGGGGATGATGTGGGGCTGCAATCCCCAGGATAGAGCTCCAATATCCAACGGCGGATATAGAGATGACGGGGGGCTGCAATCTCCAGGGCTCCGATGCCCAACACGGAGCTCCGATGCCCAGTAAGGGGCTGATGTGGGGCTCTGGCAACCCCTGCCGGGCTCCGACAGCCAACGTGGGACCCCGACACTCGCTGTGGGGCTGGTGTTCGGGCTCCGATACCCGATGCGGGGTTCCAATCCCCATCTCGCGGCTGGGCAGCAGAGCCTCGGCACACACCGCGGGACCGGCACCGGCGGCGGCAGCGCGGGGGCTGCCTGGGGAAGCCGGGTGATGGGGGGGATGGTGCGGAGGGAACGATGTCACGACAGCAAAAGCGGGGTGCGGGGGAGGGATCCCCTACCTTCATATCGTTGATGATGGCTTGGAAGAGGCCGCCGAGGGCTCCGCACTCCTTCTCCGCCGTCTCCATCGCGGCGCTGCGGCAGCCCGGGGCGGGCGGCGCCGCCGGGGGAGGCCGCGGCGGCGGGCCAGGCTCAGCGGCGGCGGGGGGCGGGCGGCGCCCGGGCGGCGGCGGCGGCGGCGGCGGCGGGGGGGGCACAGCGGCGGAGCAGCGGCGGAGCCGGGCGGGGCATCGCCCCCCTGCCTCCTTCCTTCCCTCGCTCCCTCCCTCTCGCCCTGCGCGGGTGCTGCTGCGCGGACCCGCCGCCCCCTGGCAGCGGCGCGGAGCGCGGAGCGGAGCGGAGCGGGGCGCGGGGAGCTCCGGCCCGGGGCGGTGGCGGGGGCGGGGCGGGGCGGGCGCTGAGCGGCACATGCGCCGCCCGCCGCGGGGCCGGGGGCTGCGGGCGGCGGGGGGGATGCTCCGGGAGCCGCTGCGGGCAACCCGGAGGACGCGCGGGGATGACGGAGCGGGAGGCAGCCCCGGTGGTTCTCGGGGATGCTCTTGGGGGAGGTCGGGGAGCAACACCGGGTGCCCCAGGACTACAGCGGAGGGAGACCCGAGGGACGCCTGGAGATGTGGCACTGGTGGGGGGCAGCAGGAACCCCCAGGGATTATCTTGGGTTGCTGGATGAGGAGCAGGAGAACCCCAGGGAGTATATGAGGACACTGCACTTGGAGATGCCATGGGATGCCCGGGGGCAGTCCCAGACCTCTGGAGGCGCCGGGAGGACGCTGCCTCTCCCCAAAGGGTGTTTGACCCCCATTGCCTTCCTGACCCTCCAAGATGTGCTGGAGGGTAAAGTCCCTCCGCAGTAGTTACACGACAGCTCTGAAATGTGTCCGTGCACTCGATTATCAGGGAGCCATGGGAAATGCATGGCCTGCCAGCAGACAAACCCTTCCCACAGCCATTCCGGGGCCCCAGACTCCCGGGATCTGGGAGGTGCCAGGCTGAGCCCCGACAAACCTCCCTACCCCTCCCAATGCAAGGATGCTCAGCTGGGGCAAGGGTTTCAGCCCGAGCCACCTATTCCCCCTCCTGCCAGAAAAGTAGTCCTCATCCTATGCTGATGATGCCCACACTGCTCTGGACGGTGTTGGTCAAGAGCCACCCATAAGGAAACAATTATGGCTGAGCACTCCAGCAGCCGGCTGGAATTTCTCTCCATAAACCCAGTCTGTCAGTGTGGAAAGAGGCTGCTCAGCAGCAATGAGCTCGGCAGGAGTGAGGCAGAGCCCGCCCTGGCCCACACTGACACTGACCCTGGGGTCCAGCAACAGGTACCTCCCAGCACCCTGAGAAACCAGCCAGCTTGAGAAGCCACTGCTCGCATATCCTGGAGAGCTGGCTGTTAAAATTAACCCGCCGTGACTGGGTCTGGAAAGCCCTTTCCCGGGAATGACAGGAATGTCTTTATCCTGGCCAAAGCACCGCCGGTATGGGGCTGTTTGGGGAACCCACTGCCAGAGACAGTCTTCCCTGTAAACAGGCCAGAAGCCATAAAAACTCCACGAATTCCTCCAATCCCCCTTTTCCTGGGATCAAGTGAGGGCCTGAAACATGCAGGGGATGCAATGGTGTCCCCCCAAACCGCAGCAGCCTGGCACGTGCCGGGGTCCCTCACGTGCAGCAGGACGGGATGAAGGCAAAACTGGCGCCTGCTCAGGGCCAGGAAAATGCCTGTCACTGCTGCGGTTTCGTGACCGTGGCCTGGAAGAATTTCAGTGGTGTTTTTTTTCCTGCTGGGAAGAAGAGCAGGCGGAGAAGTCCTGCTTGCTGGCAAGCCAACGTGGCAGGGCTGGGCCAGCCCGGGGCACAGGGTCAAACAAGATGCTCCATGCCATCCCCTGCCCTTGATGGATTTTTTGCTCCACTTGGGAACAAAACTATGATGGGAAGCCCAATAACAAGGAATGGGCTGGTCTGCATTGCTTGTTTATTTTATCATGGGGAGCTTAATGCAGGAACAAGGAATGGAGTCTGGGGTTAGGTCCACTGTTCCCTGTGTCCCCCGGTGCCGGCTGGGCGTTGAAGCTGTGCAGTTGTCCCTGCCAAGAGCTGGGGACTCAGAGAGGATGTGAGAATACAGAAAGGGGGTCGAGTGTCAGGCACAGGAGCATGTCCCCGAATAAGATGCCACTGGCCACCTCCAGCAGGGCCTTGGAACCAGAGGGTGGAAGTCAGGGTGGTGAAAGGTGGCTGGCAGTCCTGCGTGCTTGTTTTCCAGGGCGGAAGGGCAGGGGTTGCTCCCGTCTTCCCCTCCCCTCCTCCGGTGCTGCTGGCAGCAGGCTGGGCGCTCAGCTGACAGTCACGGGGAAGGCATTAGCAAAGCAAAGGGGAGTTTCCTCGCCCCATTGCAAGAGAAGACGAGGTGCTTTACCCTGGCCCTCTCCTAGGGCAACCCTTCCCCATGTCCTCCCAGCACCCACAGGAGAAGCTGGGCACAGCCTGAGAGTCCCCTCTCATCCAAAAACACAGTACAGGAGAAAACCAGTCCTGTCCTGAGCGCCTGCCCATCTCCACTTAAACCCACCAGATCCTCCAGTGGCCAGAAACCGGTGTGCCTGTTCCCTGGTCTGTGTCCCCTGGTCCCTGCCCCAGTAACTGTGCACACCCGTGGCGGCCGCAGGGGTGCTCAGAGGACCACCCGCCGGTCCAGCTGCTCTGCCCGCCCGGCTCGCTGGTGTCTTGCTTCCAGGTGCTTGTTTTGGACCTTCTCAAAGTGCTGCAGCAGCTCCGTGTAGTCGATGTTGGAGGCTGCTGTTCTCTTGAAGCTGGTGCTGGGCTTGGTGTTGTCCCTGCAGGGTGGGAAGTGAGAGTGAGGGTGGGAAGGGGATGGGGATGTTTGGTACTGTGAGCATCCAGCACTGGCAGCACCAAAAGCTTGAACTGAAGTAGCTGAGCTCAGCAAATCCTAGTCACGCTGGTGCCTCATAAAATACCCACAAAGACATATTTACTTCCTCCAAAGGTGTGAGACAGAGCCCAAGAGGTCCTGGGACAAGGAGGGGACAAGGGACAGACATCTGCATCTTGGCTCACATGGGAGGTTTAATTCCTCTGACACATACTCTCCTCTATCCCAACCCACTGCAGTCAAAAGCAGTGCGATAAGGATGTCAGGACCGTGTGCCTCAGTTTCCATGTCTGTTTTTTTTTTAGCAAGCAAAAAACATCCGGTGGCAGCAGGGACAGTCCCCAGGGATGAGCACGCATGGCTAGAGCCTCCAAATGCAGGCTCCCTAGGGTTCCAGTCATGGATACTCAGCCCTGTGCTGTCCTGCTGTCCCTATGCAAGGAAGGAGGAGACACCAGCCACAGGATGCCCACGGGAAGATGGCAGGCAGCTCTGGTGGCCCTGGTATGTCCCTGGGGAGGGGGCAGCTGGGACTGGCCGGTTATGAAAGCCGGCTTCGGTGTTTGAAGGAATGTAGGTCAGAGTTAATCAGATGCTCAGGCCGTCTGACAGCTCGAAAAACCCCCACTGCCAGGGTTAGTGGGGAGAAAAAAGGAGGGGGAAGCACATGCAGCCCCCTCTCCGCCCCCCCAATTAAATATCACTGTTGGGTTGTGGGTAGGAGATCAGCGCCGGAGGCCATGAGGGATAAAAGCCATCCCAGGGAAGCAGTTAAAAGCCAAGGAGCGACAACAGCGGCAGGGGGTTAATTCAGAAACCTGCCCATCTTGGGAGCTTTTTGTTCCCAGGGCTGTGCCAAGGCAGAACCAGCTTTATCATCAAGCCCCCCCCCACTACTCATTAGCCAAGGGTTGGAAAGCAAATCTCACTGGCAGCACCCCTGGGCAGGGAGCACGAGGATCTCAGCTGGTCCCCAGGGAGATGCCGCCCTTGCACATCTCACGGATCCCCAAAGGCCAGGAGTGGGAATGGAGCAGCCATCCGGAGGCATTAGCAGAGTGCCAGGCTCCTTTTGGGTGCTGTGAAGGCTGTCCAGGCTGCAGGGGGGATGCTTTGGGAGCCCCCCCCAGCTGCTGGAGTCTTTCTCCATAAACCTCCTTCCCAGCTCTGCTCGTTTCCATAGCGACCCCACAAGTGAAATTTTCCATCCTGGATGCCAAATGCCTGTGGATGAGGCACAGCCCTCCCAGGGTTACCAAATATAGACACAAAAAACCCCCCGAGCCAACACTCCCGGCCATGGGGACAAGGAGCAGCCACGGCCGCAACGGAGCTGGGGGGTGAAAGCCAGAGCACGGGGCTGAGCCCGGGATGGGGGCTGAGCCTGGAATGGCAGGGATGCTCAGCTGTGGGGGAACAGCTGATCCAGCCCCGACGCTGATGCTGGTCCATCCCCCCAGCACTTACGTGGTCTGCATGAGCTCTGGGTTGGGCACACACTGGAGGCGGTGGGAGAGGAGCTGGAAGGCGCTGCTCTGGGGCAGCAGCATCAGCAGCCCATAGAGAGCCTTAATCAGGTAGGGGTTGTTCTTCACATCCAGCAGCTGCAGGCGGAGATCTGGAAGAGGACAGAAGAGGATGGCAAGGCAGGGAAAATGCATTTCATCTCCAGCTGCAATAGCAGGTTCCTCCCACCTCCTCTGATAGTCCTGGAGAGGCTCTAAGCCTCTGCCAGCCAGCCCAAAGAGCACTTGATGGCACCCCTCTCCTCTTTCATTAACCCATCCATCTTGGTGTTCCACATTGTTCAGAAGTCCCTCTCCTTGACACAGTCCTCTGGGGGCAACTGGCTCCCCCGTCTGCCACTCCTGCTACCACTCACCCCTGAGGCTATCCAAGCTGTCTGCCTGAGAACACACATGCCACACGGGATTGCTCCCCAGCTTCTGCAGATTTAGCAGAAATACCCACCCTGGAGTATCACATACAGAGGGCTGGGTGACGCCCTCCTGGTGTCACCCAGGAGCAGAGGGAATCCTCTCTACTTGGTTCTGAGAGTTACATGTGCTGGGCCTCAATTCTGCTCAGTAGAGGAAAAAACACTCTCTGGCTCCATCCCTCACTGTGCATGGCAGAAGAGTCTTCTGGAGCTCTAAATACAACTGAAGAGGC